TTAATGCTTAAATAATAAGGAAAATATACATGTATGCCTTTATTTGGATATTATTTTGGTCTAATCTTCATTAACGACCTTTCCGATGACATCTGCTCTTAACATAGAATCTACGCTAACGACACAAACATTTGTCGGGAAGCCTCGAGAGTAAAGCTGATCAGTCAGACATGGTCAAAATGGCAGCTGATGTGCAAAACGGCCTCATCGCCGTCATTAAACTCACGCCTAACTTCAAGTGGAACCCTTACTATCCATCGCTAAAATGCAGAAAAGGTTTTGGTCACCTGTACAGCTTCAGTAAGTATCTGACTCCTCGTGATATCTTGTACATTTACAAGAGCTAGATGAGACCTAAAATCGAGTACTGATGTCATATTTGGACAGGAGCTGTCGGGTCCTCACATTAGAGTAGGGATAGCTTCCAAAAGCGTCTCTACATCCTTGTTTGTGACATTATTTTCCACCCCGCAATCACTCTCTCAAAGAAGGTTTGTAGCAAGCCCCTCACCTCTCTATCGCTACTTTTATGGAAAATGCTCGGACGAACTGCATTTCTTGGTTCCTACAGTTCTAACCTTCAAGCCTAGGACCCGATGTGCATCTCACATTGGTTTGAAGTTCCACACGAACTGCTTCTTCCATCGAACTACAGCTCTGCAGAACTGACACCCAAGAGGATGTTTCCCCGATCACTACAATCTTAATCTGTTAAAGTATAGGGTTAACCGTTATCTTCCTCTCCTATCCCCATAAACTGCCTCTTAATGTAACACTCTACCTTGAGTGGCCCCGGACCTTGTACAAGCTGCAGTTTACTTTTTAAAAAAAGACAAAATCGGCGATAAGTTAGCCACTGGACACCGTCTGGTAGGCGACCCAGTAACACATTTCATGAAGGTTTGCAAGACGGAACTGAAAGTCACATGCATCAACACTGGGGACCCCAAGTAGATGATCGCAGAGGTGTGGCACCATATTGTTCAAGAGGTCGTCGTGAAGGGTGTGTAAGAGCAAGAAGCAGAGACAGTCATTCTAGGCTTGTCTGCCTCACCTGTCGAAGAGAGTGCCATGCAAAGATTGGACTCCTAAAACCCTCCAGATGGTGGGCACAAAGGAACTGCATTTTGACTACTCTTATCTCTCGGGGTAAATGAAGGTCTGTGACATATATATATATTTATATATATATATATATATATATATATATATATATATATATATATATATATATATATATATCACGCTGTTTATCATAAGCCGATGTTTCACAAGCTTGTTAATAGAGAGGGAAAGGAAGGAAGGTGAATAATATTTTATATCCTTGCACAGAGTAGAAAAGTTAATGTATATTTTTCTCTATTTAATCGACGGATATCAAACTTAAAGGAACTCAAATTTTCTAAATTTTCTAAGGCTTGTCTGCCTCACCTATCGAAGAGAGTGCCATGCAAAGATTGGACTCCTAAAACCCTCCAGATGGTGGCCACAAAGGAACTGCATTTTGACTACTCTTATCTCTCGAGGTAAATGAAGGTCTGTTATATATATATATATATATATATATATATATATATATATATATATCACTCTGTTTATCATAAGCCGATGTTTCACAAGCTTGTTAGTAGAGAGGGAAAGGAAGGAAGGTGAATAATATTTTATATCCTTGCACAGAGTAGAAAAGTTAATGTATATTTTTCTCTATTCAATCGAGGGATATCAAACTTAAAGGAACTCAAATTTTCTAAATCTGTAAATAAATTTGATTTTTAAAATTTTTCCTAATAGGTGTTATTTATTAGAAATCAAGTTAATAATTGTGTAGCGGTTTACCCATTATCTGAGCCATCCTACTGCGTAAGATCATTTTCGTCAATAATTTCTTCTCTAAACATTTATAATTTCCAAAGCTAAATTTGTCTTCTTAAATGTCTTTGTGCAAGAATATGATATACGAAAAATTGTGTGATTCACGAACACCTGCAGAACGAACTCAATGAATGTTAGATTTAGCGTTAAATTCAAATAACAGTGGATATGATTTAATTCGACAGTCTTGAAAAGTAATAAAATACATTTTTAATAAAACTGTCTTCATTTGCACGTTGTTTGCTATTATTCTCCAGTCAAAAGAGAATACATTAAATTATTCTTAAAACCAATGGCTTACTTGACAAGCTTTTAACAGTCTGTAGCCGAATAATTCAACCATAAACGTTTTGTTAGATTCAATCCACAACGGCTGTTTAATATTTTATTGTATTTCCCAAATTTTTAACAAGATGTTGTACATTGAAATCAATAATTGTAGATTAACTGTTCGAACGTCCTGGGTATGACGATAAACAACAGCAAGGCCATTGATCTGGATGTTTTGAGGAGCGTGGAACCAACACTTAATCGATGGTGTTCCCAGGTTGACCCTGACCCAGAGTGGTAGCACCTGTTAGGGTCCAAGCTATGGGCAAATATTACCCCCCCCGACAAAAAAAGTGGTGTAAACACTATGAAAGTATAAAAATAGGTTTTAATACAAGCAATAATTTTTTGGAAAAAATATTACCAGCAATATATTTTTGAGGAAAAATTATTCCCAGCAATACATTATTACCAGCAGTACATTTTTGAAAAGAAAATATTACCACCAATACATTTTTGGAAAAAGTATTACCAGCAATAAACATCTTGTTGGCATTAAATAACCCATTGATTTGTTGATATGACATAAAACAAAGCAAACCAAACCAAACATTAACTCTTCGAAATGAAAATATGAGAATAAAAGCAATAGCATATTGTTTACAATAACAATAAATTGTTTTTCTTTTTAAATCATATTTGCAAGATCTGAAGTTATTAAAATTTCTCTTTGTCAGTCAAATCAAACTTAAATATCTATTGTGATTACTAATGTGAGATTTCAAAAATCAGGATATTTTATCTTGCATGTCTGTTTATATATGCGCCGAACGAAATGACCTTTATTCTAAACTAGCTTAAAAGCCGCCCTATCGAGCAGCATTTAAGCTAACTCCTGCGGAGGGCTCTTAATTGGGCCTTTGACTTGTTCATGTGTTTGAGAGTCTTCAAGTTTTTGCATATTCTCCGTATTGGAAGCTCTCCTGTCTTCTGTTTGATCAGGGCTTTTATTTGCATAGGACTTTCATTTCCTCGCTGCAGTCTCGGCTTTTTTATTGCAATCTGATCATCTGTTAGTGGAGATTTCTTGTTACGAGACATACTGCTGCCGTATGCCATAGACAACAATATACTATGGAAGAGCTCAAAATGATCGCCGCATTGAAGTATTGCATTAATATTGAAGCTCACCTTTTAAAAGTTCAACGATAATTCTTCTGTCACTTAATTTAAAGACAATTTGATGTACGTAGGTCCTTACTTTCCGTACAAACAATTATTTTTATTTCATGGGTGAGTTTTGCTGGATTTCACAATTAATTTATATAATTCTCAAATTCATTTCCATGTTATTAAAATTGCTATCATACAAAAACTTCTTCACAGAAGATCACGTAAATGTCACCGAAAACAATTGCAGTAATGAAAACTTGGAAATCAAAATTTCAGGATTGTGGTCCGGATCCGATCTGGATGTTTTTAGTTTACTTACGTGGTCGGCCTAAATTTTAAAATGGTATGATATTTTGCGCTATGGCCTCTAGGAGTAAAGTTGAAAACGTGTGACCCACTGATTAGCAGGTATTCCATTCGTCAGATGAAACATACGATCAGACGGCTTCTTCCCAAGAACTGCTACTTTGTGAAACAAGCATCTGTTTGGATGCTTCCAGAATGCGATAATCTACACATCTACAAGCTCAATGTATATCTTTATCTATCCTCCCTGTCCTCATAATTTTCACATTATTTTTCCCCTCTTAAGTCTATAACACTTATTTCATTCGATGTACATCTAACTTAAGAAACAGAAAAAATTCAATGAAAATAATTTTCAGCCTGAATTATTTTGATCAGCAAGATAAAAAAAAACAAAAAAAAAACAGGATATAGTTTCCAACTTTTCGTATCTTTCAGTTAGCATGTCTTGTAACATTCAAAGTCGACATTTCTTGGAACTCTACTCGTTGCCGTAACAGTGTCATCAACAAGAATGATAACTAACTAATCGCTTTCAAAGACTCACCGGAATATCTGTTCGCTTTTTCTTCCCGACATTTAAAAAAGACTGTATTGACATAGTTAAAAAAATATATATATATTAGAAAAGCTTTCTTGCTCAGTGATCCAAATTAGACAGCAGTCAGTAACGACTTCTTTCCAAGTTTTAAACACGTCATATGGCGCTCAATGCTAAACTGGACACTTGAGCCTCTGGCCGACTTTACCTCTCAATACCACCTGCTCTTTCGCGACAAGATTTGCCGGATCGACGACCACACAGAAAAGACGAGGAAGGAAATTAGTGACGTAGTACTTTCAGTGTTACGCCGTATAACAAGAAAATTCAAAGAGAATCCATTCTCTCTCGTTATTTGACGATAATTTAGCTGAAGAATAAATGAAAAGATGGGAATAAATATTAAGAGAAACTCCAGCCAGAGCGGAGTGGATATTTTCAAAATTAAAGAAAACCAAACCTGAAAACTCTTTCTTTGACCTTTTCATAAGTCTGGTTTGTTGCATCAGATTATGACAGAGCGCGACGCCAATGTAAATAACATACGTTGCCGTCGGTCGGGGAAAGAACTCACTTAGTCAATCATACATTCATTTATCCTATCTATCTATCTGTCTATCTATCTATCTATCTATTCCAATCAGTTTATATCTATCTATCTATCTATCTATCTATCTATCTATCTAATCTATCTATCAATCTCTCTCTCTATCTATCTATCTATCTATCTCCATCTTTTCATTATCTATCTCAAACTCAGATTTCTATCTATCTCAGATGATTTATTATCTCTCTATCTTTCTGATTCTGTTTATACACACAAACACAGATATTAGAA